CAGCGACTTCCCTCCACTTGCTCATCGAGGTGGTGTGCGCTCCCAGACGCCACCTGCACAACTTTCCACTGCGTGGAATTCCATCTCCTTAATCAAAACGAAACAAAAGGTAGTGTCAAGGTCCTTGGACCTTAAAAGATTTCCTTCCTGATACATTATCTTGTTAACCCATTACATCATTCAGAAAACCAAATACCCCAGCTCAGCACACAGGAAATGTAAGAAAAAGAGGAAATAGAAAATACATGTTATATACATGTGTACCACACACAGAGAGAGAATATAGAATAATCAGTTATTTATTAGACACGTCCAAGGACATTTAGTATATTTTAAATTATAAACCTTGACAATTTTCTAATTTTCCAAAGGAAGTAACAAATAATGGTTCAATCCTGAATTGGTGGAATTACATAAAGAGGTCTACTACCATCACATGCACAGAACATGCAGCCTGCTCAGTTCTCTATCACAGAGCCCAGGTTCTGCTGGAACAAGAGAGGTTTGGACACATCGATGAATGATTAACCACTAACACAGTATCCCTGTGGCTTAACTCTCAGTCTGTTTAAATATGTGACAAATGACAGCCCCATCTGGTTCTGACAGTCGCTTTGGTAAATTCAGTCTTTGATACACGCCCACCCTTCAGGATTTCTCCCTTCTGGGTGACGGATGATACAAGGCGCTTTCCTGCACTCTGATGTACCACGATGGAGAGAGAGATGGGCATCCTGGTGCCAGAGTGTCCTCTGAGACTGGGCTGCCTGGGCGAGTGGCTGTTCTGAGGTCTGAGGCTGCGTCATCTGGTCTGGGCTCTCTCAGCTTGGTGTGATCTCATCTCAATGGTGGCTTGGCCCCTAACATTTGACTTCCGCCTGGCGTCAGAGTCCTGTTTGGACAGCCAGCGCCATCGTTCTGCCAGCGGGCTTTTCTGAGCTTGGTGATGCTCGTGTGCCAAGGGAAACTCAAGAGAGCTAGTCCAGCAGGGGCTGCAAGCCACAAGGACAGTGGGAGGTTCAGCAGAGCCAGCAGCTCCTTCCTTTCTGGGACTTCGGCCAGGGAGCCATGACTCCTCCTTGCTGGCCTCTCCCCCTCGACCCCGCCCGGTTCACGCTCCGTTCCATCTTCGGCAGTTTCTGCTGTGTCCCTCCTCTCTAACACGGAATCTCAAGAGAAGGCTCCTCATGGGTTAGGGCGAGAAGGTGCTCAAAGCACTGTTTTGTTTACAAATAGCAGGTTTTCTCGCCTCAGCCAAACAATCCTATTTCTACTCTTTTTTTTCAGAAACAGATTAATTTACTGTCTGCCCTCTGCACCTAAATTCCTAATCTAATCTTTTCCATTCCCTTGCCCAGTGTCATTTTAAGAACCTCTTGACCAAAAAAGCAATAAAGGAATCACATTTTATTTTGAAAATTTGCAAGTCTTTTTAAAGTTGGACCCCTCTCCACACATGGCTTGTGTTTACTCTGATACGCTTGTAGTGGCTCTGGGGAGGGTTTGAAATTTGCCATGTGATGGAATTGTTTTTCACCGTGTTTTATAGGATTCCTTTCACTTCCTGTTAGGGAGTCCTGAAATAGCCTCTGACCTAGATTCGGCATCACACCCTTGCCTTTGCCATAGATTTCTTATAACTGAGAAGGCTTCAGAGGGCCCAGAACCACACTCTGCGTTTGGGAGGTGTGCTCAGAACTCGATGCTAAAATGAGACTAAACCAGTTCTTTAGAACTCAATAGATTATAGGTGAGTCCCCAAGATTCTGCACACAATTTCCTTCAAAAGGAAAAAAAAGCCCAAATCTGTCAAAACAAAACTGCCAATTGATTACTTCTATAACCTCCAAATTCAGGGATTTTTTAAAAAAAGAGTCCCGTGAACTTCCTGTAATTATATGTGATAGTTTATGTCTACATTAAAAGTATTTTACATTTATTTACATGTACAGTGTGCGTGGGGGGGATCAGGGGACAATTTGTTGGAGTCAGCTTTCTTTTTCCAACATACAGGTCTTAGAAATGGAACTTGGCTTTTAACTTTGGCAACAAACACATTAATGCATGGAACCATCTTTATGGGTCTCTCTATATATACATTTTTATTAGAGAAAAATCCATAGTTTTCATCAGCTTACCAAACATGGGATTTTGGTTTTCAAAACCCTGATTTGCTTCTGTATTTTCTGCTCAATTACTGAGTAGCAAATTATTTTATCAAGGTAGATAGATATACATAGAAAATTCTGCCTTGCAATAAAAATATGAAATGGTTCTTATGGCTGGGAAATAGCTCAGTTGGTAAAGTATTTGTCTTGTACATATGAAGGCCTTGTTTTGAGCTTGAGAACACACTTGAAAAAATAAAAAACAAAAACCGGGCATAATCCCAGCTGCAACATGGAGACAGAAGATCTGAGGGGCTCACTGCTTACACACACACACACACACACACACACACACAAACACGCACATATATACAAACACACATACATACACACATACACATATACATATATACATACATATACAAACATACATACACACATATACACATACACACATATACAACATACATACACAGGCATACACACACACACACACACACACACACACACACACACACACACACACACACTTGGCCTTCCCTCTCTACTTGAGCCAAACCCAAGGACTTACATCCTCTTGCATGTCTGGTGCATTTTCAAACTTGTGTTTACACAATACTGTACTGGTCAGAGCCCTTGCTGGGCAAACTCTTGCCTTCCCTTGTGCTGTTTTTCTTCCCTTAGTGGAGCCAATTGCTGTCATTGCACCGTGTGTAACAGTGAACACACTGGATTACAGCCTTTCACACCTATGTGCTCATCTGACTAGCTGGGCAAACATACCCACCTCACTGGCCAAGAGCTGGACATTGTGATGGAAGCAGATTTCGGGGAAATGCTATAGAACTTGAACCCAGTCAGCCTGGAATATATTGTAACTCTGTACCATCTAACTCATCTTGGAGGAAATGTAGACAACCAAATAATATAAAACTATTTTGTTGTTATAAAAGTAAAAACCAAAAATATAAGAGAGATAGTAATGAGATATAGAAATGAGTCCTTTCCTAGGTCCCAAGAACCCATTCCTGCTCTCCTAAAACTGCAGTGAAAGATTTCCCCTGTACCTTCCAAAACCATCTGCAGTGTCTATGTGTATGTACGTAGACATCCATGTCACATTAAAATGCATATATATAAAACTATGTAGCTAGAAATAGGTATATTGTAAATACATTTATATATAAAATATAAGACTATTACCGTACCAAATATAAAACATAACTTAATATAAAAATTTATTTCTATGTGATCTCTGTGTATATATACACATGTGTATGTATATATGTGTATACATTGTATCTATCTATCTACCTATCATCGTCATCTATCACAGTTATTCTTTTAGATACCTCCAAATAACTAGATGCTCATGTCCCTTACACACCTGCATATAATTGCTGTATAATTTGTATATAATTTATGGGCATCCTCTTGTGGTTGAAATCATCTCTGAATTATTTACACCAGTTGTACTGTCTTATATTGCATTGAGTTACCATAGGGGATAAGTCAAGAAGAACTTCAATGGTGAAAAGTGCATGTTGCTCTTGTAGAGAATCTGAGTTCAGTTCCCAGCACACCTCGGTCAGCTCACAACTGCCTATAAATCTAGCTCCAGGGAATCTGATGCCATCTTCTAGGCTCTGTGGGAGTGACACAGTTGGCATATATTCACACAATCATATACACACATACACTTAAATAAAAATATATAAATCTTTAAAATCTACATGTGTTTAATACATACTCAGTATTTTCTCAATTATTTTTGATTGGTGGTTTGTTGACTTCATGGATGCAGAATCCAAGCATATATCATATATATGTACATACACATCATACATATATATTCATACATATCTATTGTGTATATGTGTGTTTGGATGTATGTATTGTGTACTGTGTACTGTGTATGTGTGTGCTTGTGTGCGTTTGGATGTATGTATTACATATATATGTTTGCTTGTGTGTATATGAATGTGTTTGTATGTGTATATGTGTGTGTATTTATGAGTTTATATGTGTGTGTTTGTCAACTGTGGATATCTCACTGTACTTAATACTGGGTGTTAGTGAAGTAAGTCAGGTATCAGTCCTTGTGTGTGTAAAGATGGCAGCTGGTTTATCAGTGGTACCCAGAACTATCAAAGTTGGCTGAAACTACCTAGGTCCTGGTGCGAAGTTTTCAAAGGAAAACCTGGCTTCTGTACCAGTGACTACAGGATAAAAACAACATTTTGGTTATCTGCTGCCCCAGCATAGACCCCACTGGCATCTGCTGAGCAGACCTGAAGCTGTAAGTGGTCCTTACACCGTATCACCCGAGTGAAAGAAACGCCTTTCACACAGAGTCCAACACCTAGAACCTCTTTTCTAGACACCATTTTGAAGTACGTCATTCATCTTCAGGGCTTTAAATTTGCTCTTTTACTTGCAAAATGCTTTTGAACTGTCAGACTAAAGTGAGCAACTTAGATATTTCTGCTCTTAGAGCTGGGGGGAAGATAAGGTGGGCATTTTAGGTTCTGGTACACCGACACACAATCTTCATAATTGTTGCTTTGCTGGAGCAGATGTAGGAACACTCTTAGGGAGCATGCAGTGCAAAACCAATAAAACAAGGGGGCTGGGTGGTGCATGGCTCAGTAGGTTTGATGTCCATCAAGATTGAGAGAGAGCGAGAGAGGACAAGAATAAAACAAGGGACTACAACAAAGGAAGGAGAGATGTAAGACTAAGGAATTCAGCTCTAAAAAATTTACTTTTCCTTGCCGAGGACTGAACCGAGGGCCTCATGCCTGCTGGGTAAGGACTGTACCACTAAACTACACTTTGAACTTCCAGAGAAAAGAGTTATTAAAATCTCCCTGTGTGCCCACCTTGCCTGCGTCCGTGTGAACGAGCAGATCTCCACGCAGCGAGCATCCAGAGAGTCGCGCCTCGCGCCGACGGAGCGGACATGGGCAGAGCGATGGTGGTCAGACTGGGGCTGGGGTTGCTGCTTCTGGCACTGCTCCTACCCACGCAGATTTATTGCAACCAAATATCTGTTGCACCGTTTTCAAGTAACCAGAATATCTCTACTGCCCCAAATCCAACCAATGCCACCACCAGAGCAGGTGCCAGTGCCCTGCAGTCAATAGCTGGTCTTCTCGCCGTCTCACTTTCTCTCCTACATTTCTACTGTTAGAGACTCAGGCCAAGAAATGTCTCTACTTCCCCATCTTCCAGACCCAGCCCAAATGGTAACCACAAGTCCAGTGTGACCCGGAAGAAACAGGTCCACATCAAATCTACTATTGCTGCACCTCAACAGAAAACATTGAGAATTCATGTGAAGGGTATTGTGACAGATGATGAACACCAGTATTGAATCTGATGGAGTTTTATGTTCAAGATGAAGAGATAACATCCAGTGTTGACGACGTGATTTCCTTGAACGAGGCTTAAGAAATGTGGACGTTTACTCTATCTTTAAATGAAGCATAGGATTTATGTAGAGATAAGGATGGGATGTGGGATGAAGATTCAGTTTTCATTGGCTCATTACCTGTAAGGCTATAACACAGCTAGGTGATATTAAAGATTTCTCTGATGCTATTTATGTGTATGTTGGAAGGAACTACCAGGTGTTAGTTTAAATCCTCAATGTATTGTTTCATTACTACTAATTTAATATGCTAAACTCTAGGTAAAGTTCCACATTGTTGAGCTGTTCTCTTTGGAACTGAACATTTTACCCCCTCCGGTGGCTTTAAGTTCAACATTATATATGATCTTTATTAGTAATTGGCATGTGCCAGGCAACTATGGATTGGAATCCACCACCAAATCCAGTCATTACGAATAAATCTTATTTCAAAAGTCAAAAAAAAATCTCCCTGTGTATACGGTGTGTGTATGGAGGGGTGGTATACAGGAGTTTTGATTCCTTGGGAAGATCTTTTTAATACAAAGTTTTTCAAGAGTGGAATGGGTCACTTCGTGAGGTGGTAAGTTCTCTGGTACTGGAAATATTTGAGTCAGCCTAGACAGAAGAAGTGCCTTCCAAGCTCTTTGGCATTTCTATGTGACTGGTCAGTATGGGGGCAGACTGTCTTGTGGGCTCCCTGTAGTGATGGGATTGTGTGGTGCGGCAGTAGCCAGACACAGTGCTTCCTGAGCACTTTCAAGAGGGGACACTGACTTAGGAGTCTAGCATAATTTGAATTAATTTATCCTTACATAGTTGCGGGTGGCTCTTCAAGACCTAGAAGTCTATTTTCCAACAACTATCATCTCTTGCACCATTGCACACTCTGTGCTGGACGCATTAAAATCTCTCTACTAGGATATGTTTCTGCTTTAGAGGAAATATTCTTCAGAGAGACAGTGGCTCGCAGTATTCCTCCTTATTCTACATGAGTAGAAATCAGACAGAGAGTGGTCAGTAAAGAAATTGTATGTCCAATTGGGAAGCACATACAGTCAGAGACTCCCCTACAGGGCCACCATGGGAGCTCCATGTGTTTAGCTGAAGTTCCTTTCAGCTCCTGTCTGGAGTGGAAGGGAAGCAGCTTTGGCTGGGCTCAGCCACTGAGGCATGGTGCTGCCTCCAAGGAGTGCTGCCTGACTGCTTCTTCTGTGGTGTGCTAGGGTTTTGAATAAAGGTAGAGATTTACTCTGATGCGATAAAGTAACCTCAAGATTCATGTCGCTTCGCCAGAAACAGGAAGTTATTCTAGAATTTGTTGTTTCAGGTCAGAAAGAGACATCAGAGATTATATAATCGAGTCCTACATTGGCTAGAGAAGAAAACAAAAGCCCGAAGCCCAGAGCAGACTCGTGATTTGCCAAGGTCATATGAGTTTTTAGTGGAACATTTCATTTGTATAAATAAAGCGGTAGTGCACAACAATAACCACTCATCGAACGTCTGATATTCCCTTAGAAATAAAGGCAAACATTATGCCTCTTAAACGCTGTGGGAGTTCAAGGAGGGTCAAAGGCTTGCTCTCTAGGCTCTAGCATTCCGGGGCACCAGAGACCTTTACTGGGACCTGGGTATTTACAGGACTGGACTTCGACTTGTTCCTGCCTCAACAAAGATGTCACCAGATGTGAGCCCGGAAACAATGTACCCTGTGCATCATTCACACTGGGGCCAAGTTCTCTCCAAGAAACTTTGTCCCCAGGAGGGGACTTCTCCAGTCCTCCACTTGCTAGCTAGACCTGAGCTATGTGAACCACCAAGAAGAAAATTCTTCCCCCATGGTCCACTGAATCACCCTCAAACCTCTTGTAGAATTGCAAAATCTAAACAAACGGGTTGTGTTTTCAGTTTGTCTACTTTAAAACCAAACTTCACCCACGTGAAACTGGCTGACATGCTTCAAACAGCGAAGGCTTCTAGGTGCTTTCTGAGCCGCTTCTGACTCATGTCTTAGCCACCTGAGACAGAAGGACTCTAGTTTCAGGGTAACCAACTGGCTCTTGCCATGTCCCCCTTGTTTCTCCACTACTACTTCCCCCGACTCCTGGAATGGCGATAGAATCTTGAAAACATTTATTGGGAGGACTGTTTAATGCAGCACTCAGATTTTTGAAGTTCAGAAACTTGATAAAAGGTATCCTCATGTCAAGTACTATGACATACTTGGATTTCTTTGTACAATTTTCACAAGGCTTTCTGCTGGGTCCTTTGGATCTAACACACCTTGCCAAGACCGGCAGCCTCTCCTTAACTCTTCCCTCTACCTGGCAAACTTCATCCTGGTTCACTTTCCACCCTACCCAATATACATCTTCTGGTCAGACTTCTCTCCTCACCAAGCCCTCTTGTTCGTGGTGATTTTCAGCATGTCCCTGCCTGGAGTCCTACACCTCATTCCCACTCGCCATAGTCATTAGGTCCTCCAAGACCAGCCTAAAGATGCTTCACATGGAAAGCTTCCACGCTAAGTCACCAGAGTGTGGGATAATTCCATTTCACATGTTCATTGGTTGACATGCTGCACCGCCATCTCCGACCTTTCCAGAAGCCGATGCCACTCTGCCACTGAGATCTAGCTAACCGTGTACTGTAGAAGTAATGCATTGCTTCTAGGCCTGGCCCACAAATGCCTCTTTTGCAAACATCCACGCCCTTTCCTCTCCTGGCTAGCATGTTAGCATCCTAGGTAATCTAAAAAGTTCAAGTTGAAGATGATAGTCATTGGAGAGACTCAGAAGAGAACTGACCGGGAATTGACTTCCACTGTATTCAGTTATTGAGATCTGGATTGGCATTTAGTCAGATTCATATGTGTTGTTATTTAGTTCTTATAACATCTATGAATTTGACAGAATCCCCATTAAAGATGGCAAACAATGAGTGTTTAGTTACACTGGTACTGCTATTTGAACCGCTCTTATTCTTCATATACTTGGTTTTTTTTCTTTCTCTTCCGTCTCTCCTTGTGGTCCCCCTCCCCTCCCCTCCTTCCTGCTTTCCTCACAGAGCATACCATGCTTAAGGGCTTGCCTAGAATAAACCATCTTATGCACTTAGCAGGAAATGCATCACTTCCACACACTACCAACAGATGGCAGTAACGGCTGCTTGTAGGTTAGCATACCCAGAAAAGGAACTCGGGAATGCCTTGAAGTGAACACAGCCTGCTTGTGCACAGAGACACATCAAGAGCTTGGTCTATGCCTTGAGGCAACTTCTTGAGAATTAGAGTTTTCAGGTTCTTCAGACAACTGGGACCTCTATAGGCCTTTCTTCTCAAATGAGTAAATCGGTCCAGAATCATTTAATAATCCGTTTGCTCCTACTAAATTCTGACAAGTGTATATGAAGATGTATAGAGAGCTGAACCCTGTAAAGAATAATGCATTTATCATTCACACTGGTTTGTTCATCTCTCCCAAAGGGGACAGAGTAGGAAACACAAGACAATTATTCTCAATGAAAGGTACCATGCTACACTAAGGTCAAATTTAAACTATGGTTTTATTTGTGATTCTCTATGTTTAAAATTTCCTTCAATATACACCTGCACTCGTATAATTTAAAATATATAGACATAAGAATGATACAGACAGTCCAGACTGCATCAGTGATGCCAGGGTTGATGGGGTGATGGTGGGGACTGGCTTGGTAGAAGAGAATGGCTGGTGAAACGGTCCTGCTTTATTATTTACCCACACTGGGACTTTTGGAGACCATCTTCCACGTCACCCATCTGCAAAGAAGAAAAAGTCAACACATCAACACCCTAGGGTTTTGTGACAATAAACCCCAGTGTTGGACCTTGGGAATGAGATACTGGGGTTGCAAATGGATAATTTACATGGAATCACATTGAAACAATGCCCAGTTGTCAAAGGAGGATCTATATGATAATATTTACTGTCCCTTACGGTGTTTACATAGTTACTTTCTGGTGTGCCCGTAATAACATGCCATGAAAGAAAGCCTGGCGAGGGCAGAGTGGCACTCAGATGGTAAAACGCTTGCCTTGCAGGCACAAGGACTTGAATTTGTCGCAGAACCCACATAACACGCAAAACCAAGACCATCTGGGTGTGCTTTAGACCGGGAACATGGAAGCAGGTGAATCCTGCCTGGGGTTTGCTGCCCAGTCAGTTCAGAACTTGGGGAGCTCTTGGTCAGTGAAAGATTCTGTCTCAAAAAAGAACACATGTGTGCGCACACAAGCCCTCGCATGCTCACCCACACACACACACACACACACACACACACACACACACACACACACACACACACACACGGAACCGGAAACCAGGAAAAAAATCCTGGATTAATCTCCCTTGGGCATTTACCCAGCCAGCTCTGGCTTCGTGAGCAAGGGCCACTGCTTTCTCTCTGCACCTATTAGCAGCACTAGGTGAAAGCATATGTGGTTTTTCCCCCTCTTCAAACATTGGTCATTCCCTTACGTTTTCTCTTTACTCCAGCCTCACCTGTGCACTGGGTTTACACCCCCACATGTAATTCATTGAGTCAGTCACCCACACAGTTACTCATTGTATACTTGACATGCCTGTCTCTCTCTACAGGTGTCTCTGCTGCCTCTTGCTTGGTTCTCCATTCTCAGCATCTCCCAGCCATGATCTGCAGGTCTGCACACACCTTCAAGTCCAAAGCAGTCAAAACAACCCCGTGACGAAGCTGACTTGTGATCAGTCGACCCTGGCACTTGGTGGACTTTTGGAAGAGCCTGTGATAACAGAAAAACAAGGGGAGAGTTTGGAAGTGGCTTTCAAAGCCAGTGGTCAGTGATCTATTTAGACCACAGCATCTCAAACACACTGTTAGGGCCACACTATATTAACAAAAATATTGACCTAACATTTACTACTAGAAGATATCACAGCCTCTTTCATGGAATACTTTGTCTGCATTGAGCCCAGGTGATGTCTGGCTACTGTGCCCTCATTTACCCCAGCTCCCTGCCTGTTTGCCACTTATGATCCTTGGGCACATCATGGAGACATTTGTATTGCTACCAGCCCATATGGTACTTATGAGACCCAGAAGAAAGAATCACCTAGACTGTGTGCTGTCTTGAACTTTTTGGTACAGTCTGCAAAGAACCCA